CTCAATCGCAGCTTCTCATGACTGAGCGTTCCCGGTTCTGTCTCAGCGGCACGGAAGGAGGCGGCGTTCCCCGGAACACTCCGGAATGGCATCCTACACGTTATGCACCCATGCAGCCATCACGGGCCTTATGCAAGGCTTTTTAGAGCTTCCTTCTCCGGCAGGAGACCCCAGACGCTGCCGGACTCAAAAATCCGGTCCATTTACTTGAGAAATCTGGGCCGAGCAAACAGTGAATTATTGATTCACACACCTACGCAGTGCTGCATGAAGCAGTTATGTCACGACTGAAGTTAGCTGGCTTGGCTAGAACTAAATCATTTAACGTACAGTTCAATTTTCCCCTTCAAAGGGACACAGCAAAGGGCCACCCATTTCTAAGGATGTGTGGGCAATCAGGAGGTAAAGAGAAAGACACACGACGTCCTGTGGAAGACGGAGGCAAAGACACCCAACCAGCCCCATTCGTCACTCTGCAGAAGAGATGAGCTGACAAACTCATTCTTTTTTTAACTAAGATTTTTAACCCAGCTAACCTGTCAGCTAGGGAACGGACAGCATGATGTTTGACCTTGACCGGAACGGGACCGGAACGGGACCAGACCCAACCTTCTGGTTTGTCTGTGAAGGCAGACACCATTAACCGATGTTTTATGACACAGATCCTGCACACCACTATCATCTCCATCCATTCATCTATAACCATTTTTTCACCATGTCTTGGTGGACAGGATGTCTTAGAGTTAGATACTGACCTGAATCACTCTCGATACAAAGAGCTGGATTCAAACATTTACATTTTATGTATTTAACAGATACTTTTATCCAAAGCGGCAGACATTTCAGCCTTGCCCAGAGGTCAAATCCAAAATAACTTTATAGACCCTGGTATTCGACCCGGTGACCTTCCGATGCCAGGCACAGAAAGAACATCCTAACCGAGTCACACGCACAAAGATCTGGACTCTCATGCGAGGTGGACCATCCTTTAAACCCGCTCAGGAATCAGGTCCCATCCCATCACCGGGATGCCCCTCCTTCTCAGGATTAGCGTACTCACATATCCTGCACCACGATGTACTGGTGCGGTACCAGTCCGTCGACGCCGTTGTGCCGGCCCTCCCACCAGTCCTCGGAGGCTCGCTGGTACAGCAGCAGGGACGCGCCCTTCTTGAAGGAGAGCTCGCGCGTCGAGCGGCCAGCATAGTCGAACTTGGCGATGGCTTCGATGGGCTCTCCTTCTGCAGGATGGGAAGAATGCAGACACACTTAAGGCTGGGAGGGGACTGGCCCAAGTCGGAGACCCACCTCGCCCCTGCATGAGATGGAGGCCCAGGGGAAACCCCGACACCGGGGGTCCCCATGAGCACATCCCTGAGGGGCTTCCTGCCAACTTATCCAAACACTGATGAAAACACGCGGCTTCACTTTGGTCTGCCCCCACCCTATATAGGGCCACTGCTCCCCCCGCCAAGAAGGTGCAACAGTTAAATGGGGGGGTGGAGAGATGAAACATGACAGAAAGGAGGGCAAGACTAAATTAATGGCCCCGTCCTACAACGCCACATCTTTCAGTGGCGCGGACACACCGATGTCGGTATGACTGCCCACACACCCGTCTGACCCGAGACTGCGGTGTGTCCGTCTGGTTAAAAACACCAGTAAGGAAGAATTTAAGGAAGCAGCAAACCAGCACCCTAGGAAGGATGACACAGGGATCCAGACAGGATGAGACGAGTGGCTGGAGGACGAAGAAGCCACAGTCTGGCTCGTCCCGCTTCACATCCAGCAGCGTCCACCCACACGTGCCCCACGTAACGAGCACAGACAGACAGACTGGGGACTTTAGGGGTGAGGTCAGATTTATGGCCCAATCAGAAAAGGGAGGGTGCAAGCCTCCAGGGACCATGAACCCAGACCATTCCAGGCCTTCCTATGAAATTGCATTATACTGTAAAATCAATGCACCAGCCATTCGACCTCTGATCCTTTTGCCCACTAACCACAAAAAAGAAAGTTAACTGACAGCAAGGGTTTTCGCTCCTCCTTGTCTGGCAGTCCTGCTCCACGTGTGGTGAGGGTGGAACAAACACAAGACACCAACTAATCAATGTGTCTGGTCCAACTTAACAGCAATTAAACATTAACAGCCAAACGTAACTAAATCAGCCATTGTGTTGCACAACACAATTAGGATCAAATGACTGTTTAAATGGTTTAGGCACCCACACAGATAAATGATAAATTAACGCTTTATATATTAAGATCACCATTCTTGTTGTAAAATGGGACATTTCTAAACTTGTAATGACATCACCGGAGAGAAACACGTGGGAATCGACAAGCTTGAAGAGTGTTTCGATTCAGATCTATAGTAGGCGGCTCATCCTGGCCTGGCGTTCCACACAGAACTGTCAGACACAAACAAGCCCAACGCAGTCACATGTCATGGATGCTGAGCCCTGAACAGGTCTAGGGGCCGGCTTCCTGTTTGCTGAGGACAATACCCGGCTCAGCCCCTCACAATCCACAGGAAAGACAAGCCCCTCTGGAAGGAGGGGGGGGGGGCATTACCATTGGCAAGGAACAGCAACCATAACAACAGAAGATCAGGAAATACAATACAATATTCAGCAATATGTGCTGCATACGGTTATACAGTCAGTTACGTACTCGAACAACATAAAAACACTGAACAAACAACCTGTAGCGTCTGGCTTGATCTGGCAGGAGAATTCTGCAATTCATTGGCTTCCATCACCATGGAAATCGACCCCTGCCTCACAGAGCTGGGAGGGGCCCATTTGCCTTCTCAAATGGCAGCGGTGGGGGCAGTGCTCCAGCTATCGGATGGCTTTGCACGTCCTTCCTCTACGCCCGTGGCGACGTGGTATTTGAGTGACGGCCGTCCTTCTGTAAGGTGGTATGTCAGAGGCGTCCCAAAGGGAGGTGCTCGCACCCCACCCCTCGAGATGAATTGCAGTGCCTGACAGCGGTGATGAATGAGTCACCTCTCAAACCCCCCCGGCAAACCACTCCCACTTTTGTCTAATCACCACCCAGGTCGCGTTTCCACTTCGGCTGGGCATCTTCCCATCACCTTGGAGGAGAGAATGCTGGGGAGGGGCAGAGCGGCCCTTTGCCATTTGGCTCACGCACCACAAACTCGGCAGAGCTGCCCTTCAGCAGTGCCATATAAGAGAAAAAAAAGTCACGCACAAAATCCGAATGTTGAAAAATGGCAGGTCATTTCACGTTACAGTATTTTGAAAGATCACAAAATGGCAGGTCAATAGTGAACCGTATTGTGGAAGTCAGTTGAAACCGACACTGGGCTTGTTAAATAAAACACGGTCGGACTGAAGGCTACTACTCTATGAAGTATGGATTTTTGGGCTGAAGAGCCTCTTCTTACCAGTCCTTAACACCACAAGACAAGTGACAAACATGAAAAGTATCCCTTGAACCTGGGGCTGTTTTCCCAGTTTTTCTCCTCTCACCGAAAGGCGGGGCAGGAAAAGGGCAAACAGAGTAACATTTCAGCTCTGGTTGCTGCAGGGACACAGAGTCCCTTCCCCTCATCTGTGGAAGGGCACGGTAGGTCTTTTAAGCAGTTGCCAGTAACAGCTGGCAGCCACAAGGCAATGCCAACAGGAGAACAAGAAACCCGACCAGCAACCCAGACGCTCCAGCGAGGGACACAGGAAGCGAGGAGAAGAGCGGCCACCTACCGTCCTCGCTGGTGTGGGGTTCAGTCCCCCCGTCCTGCTCGACCTCCTCCAGGGCGCCGTGCTCACTGTATGGGCTGTCACTGCGGGCAGAGGAGGGGACATCAGTGCTGAAAACCTCCAACCTTCACCCCCCCCCCACAGTGCGATTCTTCTGATGTCAGCTGCTTCACAAGGTTAGTATCAGAAGGAAACTCACTTCTACACTGAGGACATAATGACCGCAAGTTAATCCACTTACACTTATGTATCTTCAAAGCAATAAGAAGGGAAATTCCTTGTCTGCATTCAGAATTACACCCCCCAGAACACCCCACAGCCTCGGACTGCAGCACCACAGCAATGAACCCGATGACTACCAGGGACTCGACAGAGCCGCATTCATGGATCTGACAGACCTTCATATAAAGACAATCTGCCTCAGTATACCCTCAATTCTGTCCCCTAAACCCCAGGGGACTGTGACCTCCTTATTGTGCCAACTCGGGACGGAACCATACTTGGTGTTCAGCATGGACCTTAACTACAGGTGGGGGGGGGAGCGTGACAGTTTGTCAGGTCTCAGGGAGCCGCGTCACATGGCAGGCTCGTTAATTACACTCATTTGTTAGATCTTCCCTGCGGCACCTTTCCATACCAGGCTTTCTCCGCATGGATTAGTCGTTCATACATCTAGCTAAGCCCCCAGCCTTTCTTGCATGAGAAGCCGCAGCGTGAAGTCAGGAATTAACAGGATGCGATTGTGCAAGATCATTCTGTGTCTGGGTGGCGGAGAGTTGGCTCAGCTTTGGGGTGATTTCGAGGGCATCTGCCCCTTCCAGCACCCATTAAAGCTTCACAATCTCAGACAGGGAGCTACCAGAAAGGTGGGGATTTAACAAGCTCCCCATTGGCTGCCTCGCCTACAGGGAGAGAGGAGCGCAGTGACGAGCTTTCAGGCTTAAGGAGGGTGTCATGGTGATAAAGAGCGAAGCGGGCACGTTGCTGGAAAACGGCGCTTGTGATTTGGAAGATGAGGATTCAGGTGCACAGCTCTGCGATTACTTTGCCAGATGACTTTATAAAAACAGAAAAAGGTCTGCCGTAACGATGACACGATGACAGTTGTAATTCGCAGGTTTACACAAACCAGCTCGCACTCTTCACACATCGCTGGATTAACTGAAGATATGTCATCGTTCATTATAAACGGAGCCAGTGGCTTAGGCATGCTACATCCCCTGAGATATCTCCTCCAGAAGTATGCGTACCCACAGCCCTAGACGAGGATTCCAGACAAGAGCCTATGGACAGCGCCCCCATGAGGCCGGAAGGAGCACGGAGGCAGAATGCCGATTTAATACTGTGTTACCAAGTGACAGGACACTCGCTCTGTCCCAGCCAAGTTCACTGGACCCCTGAGAAAGGCCCTTAACTGCCCAAAAAGCTCATATAGCATCAGATAAATGGCTGACCCTGTGCTCGGACCCCAAGATTCACTCTGAAATGCACACATATGCGTGTACATCTCAAAGGATATGAGAAGAAAAGTATTACAATGTAACTGTACTCATACGCCTGAAAATGGCAAATAAAGCATCATTTAATTTCTTTGTAATTTCATTTCATTGTCATTTTCTTTCATTTCATGACCTTTCCAGAGTGGAGCACCCGGCCTCCTCACCAGTAGTCACCACCAGCCATGCACTTTTCATACACGGGCCCCTCTAGCTCCTTGGCGTCAGGAAAGATGGCCTCATGGTGGACGATGATGGTCTTGATGACTTCGTTGACTTGCGCCTGGCAGGACACCTGGTCCTGGATGTCGGGCGAGGACATCAACGTGGGGCCAAAGCAGATCGCGAGGTTGTAGGGGTCCATCATGTTCTCATCGCTGTACTGGGAGAGACTGCGGAGAGGAAGGAGCAAGATGGGCACTTTATGGGAACGTCTCCATGGCGATACGCTTCCTTGAATGACACGCTGCAAGCGGCTGGTGGTTACGAATCAGAGGTTCTAAGATCCTCACAGCGGTTCATGCGACTGCATGACTACCCATGCCTCTTCATTATGTAAGCCAAAAACCGGTGATGACTTCGCCTCTGCCCAGACACATGAAAGATGTGACTTATTCTTGCGGCTGGCAACCTCAGCACACATTCAGCGCTAGCTCGTCTACGTCCTCCTTCTTTTAACAAGAGATACCCTAAGGCAACCCTTTCTGCGCGTAATTCCAGAAACTGGCACACTGCTGGACCTGATAGCTAGATTCTGCCTTGCCCAAAACCACCCATCCATGGTCTGTCCAAACCACTATCCTGACATCTTGTGCCCCTGCCTATGCTCCACGCACTCTACCAACGTCCCACCAAACCAAACAACCGACGCACCGCCCATAGCCCGCTAATGCTGCAACCAGTCTACCGAACAACCGACGCACCGCCCATAGCCCGCTAATGCTGCAACCAGTCTACCGAACAACCGACGCACCGCCCATAGCCCGCTAATGCTCCACCCACTCCATCAATGTTCCTCCACTTTCCCAAAAGAAATTGGGAGAGCCGCCATGAGGTCAGACTTACTGGTTGAGGAAGGCGAAGAGGTAGCGCATGACCACCAGGACAGACCTGGGCAGGGTCAGGAGGATCTTCCGGATGTACAGAGCCCTATCGTACAACTTCTCCATTCCTGCGGAAGAAATTAGCCTCGTAAACCAAAGCACACATTTTTATATCAGTTACTTCAGTTCTGCCAGTTTGCCATTCAGGAACAGGAATGTCCCAGTCTACATTTTGAACATTCTCACCGGTCACAGTATGGATTACTGTTGCATAAAATTCATAAACATGTACCCTGTACATGTTTCAACCCTGTTCTGTAAATCAAATGGGGAAAGCTGCTTTAAATATTTTCAAAACGTTATTTGAATCTTTGAAGAATCGTCGGCATTTGTCAGAAGCTCTTGAGACCCAGCCTGCTGCGTGCACGAAAATGACAAGAAAAACAGGGAAACAACATCAGACGTTGTACCTGGCTCAGAATGGGCCGGAACGACCTGGGAGTAACCTGCACCTAGGTGCAGGTTACTCCCAGACCGCTGCTACGTGGACATGTAGGGAAATGGCTGAGATAACAGTACACAGCTTCAAAGAGGAGAAACTCCATGCTAAATGGGAATAAGAGAGCTCAAGACACACAGTCTGTCACGTGGGACGGGGTGGGGACAGACTGAGCCCTTAGACAGAATTATATCACACGGCACGCATACTGAAACAAGCTTACTACCGTCAATAAAAAACTAAGAAAAAAGTAACACATTAAGAAGTATGTTTACACGTATTCATATGTTGATTAAAACAAATAACGTAAAAAAAACTGCAAATAAAATGGCGCCTATAAATGAAAAAACAACAGGTAAGAGAAGCAGAGCTGTGTTACTTTTTTACCTTCTGGGAGCTGCTTTTTAAAACACAAAAGCGCTGTGTGTCAGCGATGCAAGAGCACGAGCCGTGGGTGTGAATGCCGAATCGTTAGATTTGAAAATACGCTTGTTAATTTCTCACAAACGGCGAAGTGTGAGCCATGAATAAAACATAGGTAAAATGAAAGTCTAAAAACTGACCCCGTGTGACAGAACCCATGAGCCAATTAACCCACCAGCATAACCCAAGGCCCCGCCCAACCCAAGAGGGTAGTGCGATAAGGGCAGCGTGACTGGAAGGAAAACTGCCCCCCCCCCCGAACACCAACTCTCAGCCCCCACTCCCCTAGGAAGCCCATTTACATGCGACACACTCCGTGGAACATCTCAGCCTCCAGAAGCCGGGACTCACTTTGACAGCCCCGCTCTCCTGAGACGGACGGTGCGGCTGCCTGTAGGTCTGATCTTAAAGAGCGCTTTCCGCCAGCTGGGAGAGACCCAAAAATAACCACGAGACACCGGGTCCACCTGCCTCCCCGGGGAGCAGCTCTGAAGACGTTCACCTTACATGACCACCTTGCCGAGTTCCTTCTCCGACAACCTCATGCTTTTTAAACCAAGGTGCACTTAGTGGAAATGCTTAAGATCTGGAGAAGTACCAAACCATATCACTGTGGACGCAGAGCTTGCAGGAATCTGAAGGATTCGCCCGGCTCTGAAAAGGAGCGTCTATCAAATCCCAGATGCTGTCAGCGACGCCCCACAAAGGCCCGGTCGACTCAGGCCCGCTGTCGAACGTAACATACGAATCACTGCTTGGCATTCATGGCAAAGCCTGCTCCAAGCCACCCACGGCAGGCAAGAAAAGGTCAAGACGCAGCCTGCGGCGCATACAGAATGAGCGCGGCCGGCCGCCCTGACAAAGCGGCTTCAGACATCCGCTCTTCCCACTCGTGTCAATCGCGCGATTATGGGCTGTCGCCGGCACCTCTCCGCATTTCTGCCGCACAATTACAGGGTCCATCGAGGGGCCAGTAAGAGTGCCTTGGTGTGCTCCAAGACAAACGCTCAGCTGTTTAGAAGCTCGGGGAGAGCCGCGGAGAGACGACCGAACACACAGGATGGATCATTCTGCTCCCAGCCTCAGGATACTTGGCCAGAAAGACACGATGACGGCAAACGGACGACGACTCAAGAGCCACTTATTGTGTTGAGGGTGGTGTGGAGACCCTTTCAGTCCATGGAAAAGATTCATGCCGTTCCGATTCCCGTCAGCCACAGAGAGACGTTTAACACGGGCCCACTCACTGACGGTGGAGATGAGCTCGTTAAATCGCTCCTTGGGGAAGAGCGGATTCTCCAGACCTCGGAAGTACAGCTTGAGGACACCTGCCACGGAGTTCATGTCTTGGTTGTTCTCCTCGTCAGCTAGAGGGTCGTTACCTGAGACAGAAAACAAGGGAATTTACCTGCGTTAGACCAGCCGCTCCGACTAAGCCTTTAACGATACTTGAAGTCAGAGTCACTGACAGAGCAGAAAGAGGAATATATACACACACATATGTGTGTGTATATATTCACATTGTATTTATATAGCAGGAGCTTTCTTCAAAGCAAGACACATTTGAGAAAGCAGGATCAGACACTCCCTGGAGCGACTGAGCAGGGGCCCAAACGTGACATCTCAGGTGGCCCTGGGATTCAAACCAGCAACCTTCTGATCACAGACACAGCCTCTTAACCCACTGAGCCACAAACCACTCCCACGTGAATAAGAATAATAAATGACCAGACATAGCCTTCCAAGATTTAAATATCATTATCATCTCGGGGAGCACACAGATTTTAAATATAATATTTTTTCCTTTTTTAAAAAAAATAAAAATAAATAATCATCAAATTTCCAAAGTTTCTCACCAGCATCACTAACTAGATTGAGAACATTAAGCCCCAAACAGATGCAGGCAGCCTTTGCTTTAATGGAATCCTCCCCCCCCACCCAGCATGACCAGACCAGAATCACACACCTCTCTCAAAGGAGTTCTTTATATCATTGACTTCCACCTGTGAGCCTGGCACGCGGAATATCCCTTGATGCTGGAGACCTAGAGGGAAAACAGGAGGACAAGACAAGAATTGTGTTAATATAATAGTGATACTTCATTAATCCTGATGGGCTAATTATCTTTTCACCTACCCTATCTTGTTTTCTAGCTTGGGGGTCACAGCACAGGGTCAGCCAGCGTGCAGTGCCCCAGGAGCTGGGGGGGGTTAAGGGCCTTGCTCAAGGGACATGTGACTATTCTGCTGAGGCAACCTTGCGATCACAGGCCTGCCCAACCGAAGCACACGCGCCCCCCCCCCCAACCCCATTCTTGAAACTTTCTGAGGAACACAAATTGACTCGGGGCATTGCTGAAGTCAGGAGCTATAATATAAATGGTCAAAGTCTCTAAAGTCCCTAAAAGAGAATTTTGCGGCGGGGATTAATAAAGTGACAGTAAGCAAGTTGTCTGCCCAAGGGTCTCCTACTCTGGATTAGCTTTTATAAACTAGGAGGGACAGTCCAGTGTTACATTTTTCCTCATAAGGGCATTTGTATTCTCCTCCAAGGACTGGAGTTATTATTATGAACCTGAATCACGAGGCAAATTTCTGATGCAGAAACACACAGTAAACAATGTGGAATCTGGGTGTAACCAAGAGGAACAGAATTGAACACCCCTGTGCCAGGAGCAGGAGGTCTCTCAGCACATCGGCACAGCCTCTTAACCTCCTCGCAGTCACGGTGCGCCGGCCTCGAGGAGTTCGCAGGCTGACGGTACAAGGTGCTGTCGCGTGATGTCAACATGTTCACATACCTCTGCTGCTGCAGTGATCGAACAAACGAGAAACTCACCGTACAGATTGATGAATCGAATACAACTTTCAACCACACGAGGGATAGCTTGTCCAGAGTCCTTAAACAGAGAGAAGGCCCAAACATCACATACAGGTACAACCTTCGGCAGTATTTTAAAATATGATGCTGCAGGAAGTACTTGCAGTCTAATGCATGAGTATGTGCATTTAGCAACCATTTCAAAAGCAGGATTATAGGTTTACAGAAAACATCTGCTTGTAAAGAATTATGAGACAATTTATTTCCGCAGCGCATTCAAGCATAATAATATAGACAAACAAAATTGAAGGCCGAGGTGAAATGAAAGCATTCTTTCAGTTAATATTAATAAGATCGTACGGTGGCTGTATACTTCAAACAGAATCCACATTGTTTTAGCAACGCGAAGCCGTATGAGCTGTGATCACCGCGGCGATCACAGTCTCGGCTCACCGCCGCAATAGGGAACCCAACCCAAACTTTCAGATTCCACCAATATCCACATTCGAAAACTTTCTGTGCCCTCTGGGGTTCTGGTGTGACACAGAACAAACAAGGTAGTGGTGTTGTTCTCACCAACACCAACGACTTTTTGTTTAGACATCGTCTGAAGTATACGGCCAGTTTTAATGTATCTGGAATATTCCATGGCTCTACTTGTCACAGAATGTCATTTCACCAGAGCTCAGGGGATGTACATCATGTGTTGGTAATCAGATTACTGGGCCTATATGTTCTTTAAACAGTAAGACCAATTGTGACTAGAAGGTACCACTGCCAGCGTAAGCAGGGGGGTTGGGAGACACCACTGCCAGCGTAAGCAGGGGGGTTGGGAGACACCACTGCCAGCGTAAGCAGGGGGGTTGGGAGACACCACTGCCAGCATAAGCAGGGTGCTTTTTGCTGTTAGTCACCCCCCTCCATTGGAAGAACGTTAGAAAAATGTTTGAAAGCCATCGATTCAATCTGTTAATGTTACACGTTCAGATTTTTGCCATTATACACAGACACATGCACAGAAGCCGGGGAAAAGCTGGGGTTAAGGGCAGAGCAGCCGGCAGGAAGGCGCAGACAGCACGTGCGAGCCCCCATACAGTACCTGGTGTCGGGTGTGCGAGTTCCGTCGTCCACGGCTACGAGAATGGGGTGGGGGGGGTGGGGGGTAAGGAGAGGCAGAGGGAGGATAAACAAGTGAAACTAACATCAGATACTCCGCGTCTCAAACCACTCAATGCAGTGCACACACTGCTACCCCCGCCCGCTCTAACTGCGGGGTGTTCATTCAGGCGGAAGAAGAAAGTGGGGGGGCTGACGCACTGGCCTGAGGTCCAGAGGCTGCCCACCACTGCCTGCTGCTGTCAGGCTGGCTGAGGGACCAAGGGAAGGGCAGAAGCCAGAGGTCTGGTGCAGCTCTCCTAGTGATGGCTGTAGGAGGCCCAAAACACCCCCTCTTCCAATTCTTAACACTCCCCCCCACCAAGCTTTGGTTGCCAGCTATCCACCCTCCACTGGTCTACTGCCCCAACACCACATTGAGCTGAAGCTCTCCCACATGGCCACAAAGGGTGGCTTAATGATCGGGCCTCGTTAAAGCCGGAGAGGCCGACCATAACGAGGAGGCGGAGCCACAGCAGTCTCACATCCCCACTTAATGTGAAACATGGAGTGAGGCCTAGACTGGAGGCCTTAAGGGTACTGGGGGCAGGCTGAGAGGCCTATGCCTTTAGCTTCCCTGAAAAACCTCCATTTAACCCAAAGTCAACAACGTTGGCAACGTGCACCACAGCTCATTCAGAGCTAAGAGGAGTTAACACCACTTGGTGAGCAAGCCAACAGTACATCCTTCATCCTCTGTACTCACTTCCTGCAGTAGTACAGCAGACTGTGGCACAGGGAACCTCCATATTAGGGGCATTCAAATTGTGTCACATGTTCAAGGTCACAGTAAGGTCACACCAAGCAGGAAGCAGATTATCCCACGGCAACGACAAAAAACAAATCATTCACAAAACCTCCATGTCAAATACTATAGAGGAGCAGGCAGATCACAGTCTACAAGTCCTCTTTGTTGTTCTAATTTTACTGATGAATGTTAATTTTGGCAGAAAGTCTAATTATTCGTAGCCATCATGGATTATTTTATATACATCCCAGGATTCCCAAAACAAATGCCATCGCCCAGCCCCAATTCGACATCTTGAGGAGCCCCCGGACAGTAGTAGCTTCCATGCCTGGCATGTGACAGAGTGAAGCGTAGGGGATCCTGAAAACCAAACTTGATATTTGACGAGAGCAGGACGCCAGAAATGTTCATTTTCCCTGAGCAGTAACCAGCCTGAGAACATCTTCAGAATATCCATTCCCACAAACGTTCTATGAACTTCACCACTTTCTGCAATGGGATGACCTTTGTGTAAGAATGTACCCATGCATACTCGGGAAAAAAAAAAACATTCTCGTGATGTTGTTACTGAGCGACTTAAATATAGAAGAACACAGAACTTCACAACGGGACAAACTTTGAGAAACGCTGAGAAATGGCTGCTGGCCTACCTTGTGGTCATGTACTCCGCACGGTGACCTGAGAAGACAAAGCGGGGGCAGGATGAGAGGCTGGGGTGCTGGGGGGGGCACACGCTCACTAAAGCATGCATCTCGCCATCTGGTTACCGAGGAGATGCCGTCCAGACTGCTGAGGTAGGACGTGATGTGTGTTCACGCGCATGTGGTCACACACTGACGGCAAGACGAGCTGCAAACTGGTGCAACTCAGCTTAACCTGGTTCTCCTCTGTGTTTAGACCAATGGCACCACTGTGCCCAGCCGGCCAGTACAACGGGTGGGAGTCAGGCCACGCGGCCATCCGATGGTCACTCGCACAGCCCTCGAAGGAACCAAGGAGTGGCAGTTTCCCCGCCATCTTCACATGCACAGTGTGACGGACGCCACAAGTAACGTCTCCACTCCCCAGCTAATGCTGTGATTATGAGGTCGTACCGCTCTGTCGAAATGGGTGAATGTGGAATTATTTTGATAGCCAACACAGTAATTCTTGTTTGTGGTTGCAGAAAAATGCAAACTGCAAAAATATAGTGTGTATTTTTGATATATGCTTTTGTAAAACGATACTACAGAATTAACGCTATGTAAGAGCGACTGTCAGCCAAGTGAGGTGTACGTGACCATGGTGAGGACGACGTGCTGAGTGCCATGTCAGCAGAGGGGTCCCCCAGAAGCTCTCCAGGCAGGAACAAACCCGAGACTATCACAGTAACCACAATGGGAAGCCAGTCCTCCCCTCACCTTCTCCCAGCGTCCTCTTCAGCAGGTCATGCTTGGCCTGAAGCTTGGAGATTAGACTGCTACTCTCCAGATACTCGCGGAATTTCTGTGGAACATCAAGGAACAATTTTTGTAGCTGGTTAGACTGCCCTGAGTAGACGGCTCACTAGCTGCCCCCTGTACTAATAAAGATCTCATTTGGGCGGCTCTGTTACAAAACAGCAGAGCAGGAGCAATCCCTCAACGAGGTGATCTCCACATTCACATCCAAATAATTAGACTAAACCACAATATTAATACTGCAGCTTGTGATTCATGCTGCTCTGGTTAACATATAGAATATGCCTTTCCTTTCAAAATAAAAGGAAACGTTAATACTTGGATTTTTACAGTTATTTGTGTCCGCGATTTACTGCAGTACAGCCCACAATCCATCAGGGGGCGCTCACCATGAAGTAGAACTGCTCTGTCTCCTGCTGGTTGGCTCTCCTCTTGGCGATGCTGGGTTTGCTGAGGTAAGTCTCTGAGACAGTGGACTTGACGGACTCTGTGGAGCGGCTGTGGTGGAAGCTCTCAGACACATCGTAGTCCTCGATGGTCACCATGTCCTGTATGGTGGTGAGTGTAGCTTCCGAGGTTTTCTTGATCTGGAGCCGGAGGAGGTCGGCGTTAGCGCACATCCACAAAAACGGCTGACAATCCCTCTGCGGTGTTGTTCAGCCCCAGTGAAATTCAACACGACATGCTGACCCATGCTAGACTGGAACAAGCAAATGTCACCAGGTTTAAAGAATAGGCTTTTACTGGCATTCACAGAGCTGATGCGCTAATACATTGGAACTCCAACCTCTCCTGACTTCCTTAACCTTTCATGTCTAAATCGGGGAATAGGGAAGAGAGATAAGCTCCTCAGGAAGCAGAGTCCTTCTATGTTGACAGAATATTTTTCTGCTTTCCTGCAAAAATGATCCTGTAACAACCCACCACACCGAACACAATGAAAGACACACCACAGGAGCAGTAGCTAATTCTAATCACCGCTAGGGTGGTGTGATCCCATCTAGTGCACCATGAGGTCTTGGGAGGCAAAAGCAGAAGCATGCCAATCCGCACAGGATGAAACTGCCAGTCGCTTTGCTGGGCGCCGTTACAGTGGGTTAGTGCCTCCTGTTCCACACTGCACAAGCCTCGAGCGGTACCCGCCGGAGCAGACAGGCCACCTGCGGCTTAATACAGGGTCGGTGCCCTCGTGCGGTGAAGGGAATGGATGCCGTGTCGCCCGTGCAGTGTCAAGCCTCAGGTTACAGCAGTCTTCGACAGAATTATGAGGGAATAAAGCCTAGTTCATACTTCTGAATGAAGCTTACATGAAAGCAGGTTTTATAACCACAAGTTTCAAGTCTTCTCGGGGTTTTAAAACAAAAATTCCATTATATGCGAGTCCGCTATATCCGATGCTTTTTCTGCATGTTCTTAAAGGCGCACGGCCAGGACCAGCAGACCTTGTCCATTATAGACGATGTTCCGTTATAAGCAAGTCCACTATAACGGGATTAGACAGTATGTTTAATCTTTACCTCTGCCCGATCACATTTGTCATTGAAAGCACTATATGATTCTTGCGATAATATATAATTATTGGGTAAAAATCAAAACATAGGTGGAATATATGGACCTCCTAAAAGGTCAGGGTGGGAAAATATTTTTTGAAACAGTTTTGCATTCCCTCGCAATAGTTTTGCAATCCCACTACACTTGCCCACTTGCTATTTGCTGCAACGTGACGGCAAGGATGAACCTATGGAATGAGTGGAACGTAAAACTATTTAAAAAATATATTTTCTCACCCTGACCTCTTAGGGGCTCCGTAGTAATATATCATTAATTGTGAACAAATATAGATGAGGTTTCCAGAGCTACTGATAGTTATTGTTTTGAGCTGAACAAATTGAAATAACGAAGTTTACATACATGTCCCATACTGGATATAACTAGTCAATAGTGCACATTCGCAGTCAATGTGCAAGGTTTCCACTAGACAAAAATCTGGGCTACATGCGCAACGACCGCAGCCGTCCGCAGCCAGGCCCTGATGATGATATTTACGTCAAGTCCCATCGTCCACAACTGAAAGCACATACAGACAAGTGAAGTATGAATTGGCCTTAAGGCTTCCGGGAAGCACAAAATGCCACATTTAAGAAACCATTTGCCTACCAAGGAAATTTTGCTGATATAGTTCTGGTTATCAGTGATTACTGCAAGGTCTTCAAAAAAAGGCAGATTGGTCACAGGAGTCAAATGTAAACATGTGCATTAATTTCCCATCCTGCGTGCAAGGATCCACAGACCAAACCATGGGGTGGCTGGAGAGGTGCGGACGTTCGGGCCAAACACACAGACGATATTCCCATGACTGGATGATATGGAGATCATTAGACCCCAGGTGATGAGTCCTTGTGTAATCTTGGGTAGTCTTTACATATTACACCACCACTGCCGTCATTCAGATGCACCGTCGCACAATTATCCCATAACAGAGTGAGAGGGTTAGGAAGCGACTGACAGGCTCGTGCAAACAAGAGGGGAAACTGGCTGAGAAGATAATCATCTGCTCAGATCCATGGAGCCGTGAGGAGGACGTGACTGTGAAAGCCAGCATTAAGGAGCATAAACAGTAATTATCTTCAGAACGGTCGTGGACTCCGCGGTTTCCAGATTTTCGGCATAGTTTTCTCAGCAGAAAGCTTGTGCCTTGAACTAAATATGCGATAGATCTAGTGCTGTGCAATGATGACAGTAATGAGGCAGCTATTTTATAACCGTATAAAAGTGCATCGGCGTTTCTACTGAATATATTCCAATTTTGCCTTAGGCAGCTATAAGTACAGGTGACATAAGGAGAAACAGGGAGACGTACAAGGCAATTCCACTGGAGATACACCTACAGGATGTTCCCCCATGGAGAGCAGCCCAGCCACTCCACTACAGCCTCTCCGAAGCACATCACCGTTCCCAAAGGGCTTCACCAGCCACCTGGAGAACATCCTCACTGTAGCTCAGACTCTTGTTTCATCAGGATCTCCATGACCTCAGCGCTAAAGATCCCACATATTGATCAACTAAATCCCTGATTTTAACACTTCTCACATAAGTTTCTGGACACACTTGTCTGGACTGCAGAAACACCAACCCGACTCAGCTCCCTTAAATTCCACCATGTCGCAATGATTCAAAGCTATGCGGTTTCTGCCAGAACCCTCCCCCACCGAATCTCCTCCTCCACACATTGCCTACCGGTTAGAGCCCCATCAGGAAACTGAATGTCTGGACCCTGACCAGACCTGCACTCTTCTGAAAGCTGACCTGACAATGGCTTTAAGCGAATTATCTTTCACGCACAGGAAGGATTGCATTGCTTCACTAAGTGTAGCCTGTAACACACTTCACTCCAATTTACCCTTAAAAACGGACTTGCCGCACATAATCACCTTGCGAAGTAACGCTCTGGGGGGCTCCCTAAAAACGACAGCTTTCCAAAGGTATATAGAAGGTACACAAAATTCTGTGACAGTCACACTGAATTTTGTGGTTAAGCCCATAGAGCAGAGAAGTCCTCGTGTACGCTGTACCTTAAGGAGCTTTGCGGCCAAGAGGAAAGGACACACATTGATGTGTACTCAGGAAATTACAGTGCAATCCACATCTTCAGAGCTTATTGAATGAAGAGCATGCTGGCAGCAGATAGCATAGCATTTAGCGACACCCCCCCCCTCCCTGTTCGAATACACAAATACGTGCGGAACAAACTGAAATCAGCCAAAAGTCCCTTAAAAAGGTTCAACTGAACAACTCCATGCAGGCTCCAATTGTTATTCTACCAAGAAATTGAACAATGACAGAGAAAACTCTGCCTATCACTCAAAGAGGCAAGAAACAAGTAAACATATCCTGTAATTCCTGCTGCCGGAGCTGGGATCAGAGGCCACGACAGAACATCCTTAAAAGAGCGGGACACAGAGGTCTCCGAAGGTGGCAGCGTATCCGTCAGCCTTTCAATGCCCTTGCTGTGGCCAAGCGTCCAGGAAACAGCTGTGCTTCTATTGATAATGACAAGGGGGCTTGGTGGCTGAAGACCTCGCTCCCCCTGTCATGGTTAACCATGCGGTTCCTGGAATGGGCCTCTCCCTGAAGATGGCCAGGTGGTGCAAGGACACAGGCCTTAGACAAGCCAACAAGATATCTACAGAAAACAAATGTGGGGGGTGGTCTGAAGGCTACAAGGATAACAAGAAAAGGAGGGATTAAGTAACACAAATAAGATAAGCTGAACCTGCAGAGTTTACCCAGAATACTGCTGGGTTCACCTTCCCCAAACTTTTCCCTGCTTTAGTCTCCTGTTACTGCCCAACAGGTGGGGTTCATCTCAAGTTCAAGGCCTTGATACTGGCATACAAGGTTACCAAGGGAATGGTACCATGTGTGCAAAATCATATCCAACTCCCACACTTTCTAGGTCACTACGTTCCTTTAGATCAAACTACATGATGGTTCTAGGTCTGAAAGGTCGGAAAATCGAATCCCATCGTTCTGAAACCTTGACCGTGGGGAGGCACAAGCTTCTCCTCAGACTCAAGACTGAGGCTGCAGAATCATCTCTGCTCTTCACAACAGTCATCAAAATACCCTGCCTCATCCAGAATGTTCCTCCCTTGGCTACAGTTGTCATCGGCATAGATATACAGGTCTATCTTTAGCTTGGTGTTGGCTGCATTGCGATAAGCTAGCACAATTTAACCTCCTTCCTAAATGAAACAGTAATAGTTTTGGATCCCATACAGGTACTGAGATTTGCTGCGCTTACTGATAACATGCTTGCGTTGATGTCTTTGATGTCTTTGTTGTTTAACGCTCCATTTATTAGCATCAACTTGCAAATCACTTCGGAAAGAAGAATCAGCGAGATAAAATGAAAGCCCAGCCAATTCGGTACGAGGGAACCTCATTCCGGCTCTATAACACGGCGGTGAGCGGATAACGTCCAGGAACTTCACAGGCACTTCAAAGCGTCTCGTGTGAATAGCTGCGATTTCCAGGCCCGTTATCTGAAGCTATGATCCAGGCCTGGAGGCAGCATGGAGATGCGTAGACAGAGCACGTTTCGTTTTTATCAAAAGACGTGCGACAAGGCCTGAATCAACGAATTCAGGGGAGCAGACTGAGGTAAGAAGGAGGGTGAGAGGAGTGATGCAACAGCTCTTCCCTAAAGGAAATAAACCTCCTCGCCCCCTTCACATGCCTCATGTTTATTTAGCAAAAAAGGCGTCGAGTGTGAATGCCAGCTGAAGTCCGTTACAAAGTTTAATGCTAGAGGGAAGAAGCTTCCGACTAGGATGCAGCTTGTCATTAAGGGCGTCAACGGCTGACACAAAAAGGAACACGGTCAAAGACATGGAGACGGGGCTGTCCTGTTCAGTCCCCGCTCCCCAAGGGGACAGAAGCCGTTCAGCAGGTTGGTAAGCGGAGCAGAGAATCTCTTCACCCTGAAAGCTTATCCCCTGGCTGGCTTCCGAGGTAGACGAAAGCCAACATTTAAAGATATTCAAGTACTCAGTGAAGCAAAACCCTGTTACAAAAGTCTGAAAAATAAATTGAAAAAACAGGTGCTAAGTCTGCTGAGGTTAGGGATGTCAACTACTACTTCCTTATAAAATGTTCATTTTTAAAATAAATTCAGCAGCAGCAGCTGGACGACAGCTTGCCAGGTAACATTGTCATCTTTGCACAGGGGTAGTTTTCTGCAGAGGTGAAACGTTCAGCTGGCCAATTCATCTCTCCTTTCCCGGAACTAACAGGCCCTGCTTTTCCAGCATACAGAACCCAGCGCTAACTGAAGCCACTTGCAGGCAGATTTGTGATAAGAACAGTTGATTTCTAGGAGGCAAGTGGCTGATCTTCCCGAAAATGGGGGCCTCGGCCTGAGGCGCGTGCAGATACGGCCATAAAGGAATGTGGTATATATGCAAGTATCCCTACTCGGGTACCTGCTGGGAAAATAAAGAAAATGGTTTTCGTTTTTTTTTTTTTTTTTTTTTTACAGACAAAAAATTCCATGAGAATGATTGTAATCAATTGACCTTTGACCCCCATTGACCTATTCCATTGCTGGGTTTACTGAAAATGTCTGTTCCACCAGAGTAAATGGGAAAACAGAAATGACCGGAACTGCAGTCTGTTCTGGAGGGTCAGGACCCACCTCTTCACTTTCGATCTTGAGCGTGGCGAGGCGCGACTGCAGCTGCTGAAACCTCAGCAGGAGCTCGGCGTGAACCTGCGGTTGCGCTGTGATCTGACACACCTGACAGGAAAAGGAGCATGTCACCTGACAGGAAGTTGTGTGTAAATAAAGACCAACAAAACTCAAGTATGTGAGAAATTGGCTAATATGTTCCAAAAATCTCATTTATCACATACACCAGAACAGCATCTTGAAAATCTAAAAGAACAGAAGCAAAAGTTTCATGTTCAGGTTCATGTTCAGATCAACGGTCATGTGACCTCAGTCTCGGCCTGACCTCGTCCCCCATGTGGGGCTGGAACTCAAATTTTGAGGGGGGGCAGAAAGCAGTGGGGTACATCTCCATGAGCCTCTGCCGGTCGCTGCGGGGGTCCAGGTTGTCCACGGCGTTCTCGATGATGTCAAGGCCCTCGTGCCGTGACGTCTCCAGGTTGTATTCCGCCGAGAGGTAGGTGCGAAGGGCACGGTTCAGGCTGGCGTGGTATCCCAGGTCACAGCACTGCACACAGAGAAGGCCATCATGCTCAGAGTGAACAGCACTGCACACAGAGAAGGCCGTCATGCTCAGAGTGAACAGCACTGCACACAGAGAAGGCCGTCATGCTCAGAGTGAACAGCACTGCACACAGAGAAGGCCGTCATGCTCATAGTGAACAGCACTGCACACAGAGAAGGCCGTCATGCTCATAGTGAACAGCACTGCACACAGAGAAGGCCGTCATGCTCAAAGTGAACAGCACTGCACACAGAGAAGGCC